TGTAGGCAGAGTCGCAAACTGCAGTGCATCGCGGGGCGCGCGCAGCGACAATGGGTTATCCCTCAATGTCACCTGGCTGTTATCGGCCCTGGCCCCGACTTCTGTTGCAATGAAACAAGGTAGAGAAGGAAAAATAGAGTCAGTCTCCGTCGCTCTATTGCCTGTTCTAGCGGTGTGTGAATCCAACGCGGGTACGGATACTGGGCAACAGGCACAAGGAGCGGAGATCGGATGGCCTCAATCAACATTAACAACAAAGCCCATGGGGCCACAACGCTTGAACCCGGCAGCCTGGCAAGGGGGTGGTCCGTTGTCTGTGTGTGCCCCCTTTTCCCACCAATGTGCAGTCTCCATTTAGGTCGAGGAATTCCCACGGCACTTCTCCAGAAACGTGATGCCAAGACTTTTGGAAAGGAGATGATGCCAAGACTGGAACCTCTGCCAAGACTTTTTAGCATCCATCGATCTGCGCACTTTTCACACACGAAACCGAGGTCACTGACCAGCTCAGCTCTGCGCGATCGTGACGAACGTCTTTTGGGTTTGCCAAATTCTGCTCGACGCGCTTCGTTGAAAAACTCTTTTTCTGCAGCTTCAACGACCACCGGACGGCCGAATTCGAGATTCAACGGCTTTTCCCCGGACGCTCCGAGAGGCCTCCCGCCTCCCCCGTCTGGAACCTCGACCGGCGAAAAAAGGGGGCCGAATCCGCCGCTTACGGGGGTCGGAGTCGCCCGGCTAGAGCTGGCGAAAATGCCAACAGAGGGTCATGAGTGGGTATCGTCCTTGAGCCATGTCCACCCCGAGATTGCGCCCCAAACGGGAGCAAGCATCGGTTGATGTGCCAAGTGGGCGCTGTATTCTCATCCAAACATTGGACTCGGCCGCCAACGTGCTTTTTTGCCCGCGGCAACGAGACTGCTTCAGGTTCACATTGAGATCAACAACAGGAATCGGGGTTTTTTTGGTACTCTGCTCATCCTTGATTCCTCCGGCTGGTACAATGCCCACTTTGATATACTAAGAAAACCTCTACGTTGGAGACGTATCGTGAACCGCACCAGACAGAATCCAGTAAAGTTGCTTTCGTCCGAGAAAGCTCGTAAAAAAATCGGATTCATCTCATGTTTAATCTATCTGCATTCCATGTTCTCAGGTGAGCACACCTAGCCAACCCCTGATTTACATTGTGAGGCAAGTGAGGACCAGCCTCACGCCTTACTTGCTACCCTACCTGCGGGCAATCAGATCTTAAGCCAAGGGATCTTTGGATAAGCATAGGGGTCTTGCACTAGGATACGAACGTTCAGCCCCCGTGAACGCATCGTACAGATTGCCATGCAGCACAATCAACGTTGCGATTACAACCCGAACCACTTTTGTTGGGTTACCTACTGGAAGCAGCCGACGGGATATGATCTAAACAATCGTTCGGATGGAGTACCCATTCCCAATTATTGATTCTCAGTGGAGGGAGAATCACTTCCGTGGATTTCGTGCATCTCCTCGGTAGCATTGACTCCCGTTCGGTCTCACACCATGAACGCATGATCGTGAAAAAACAAGATTTTCTCGCAGAGTCATTCGCGTTCGTAAATTCAAAGTATCCGAATCATACTTCTCCGCAAGTAATTCTCCAGAAATGACATGTCGTCGACGTCTTTCTGTAGAAGAAAAGAGCCGGCATGCTCCACGTTGGGCAGAATGCCGTGGGCAGAACGCGATGGAGACGCAAGGCTCGTCGGAGCTCGATTCCGCCAAATGCCAGCGCAGCAGGACCACACCTGGGTCATCTATCCTTGCTGGCCGTACTGACATCCTTGCCAAGGCATTCGGAAATGGCCCTTTTGAATTTTTGATTACCATTACCGTGAGAAATATTCACCGCGTAGCAAGACACGGTCGCCGACATTCAGCGTGGCGGGGACAGCTGGCCCAGCCTCGTGTAGCTCCAGCACAAAGCTTCCTTATCAACGTAGCCGCCGAGCATGTTACAAAAGTTGTGGTCTATCATCCGATGATTTCGATAAAACCACCGCCAAGCACGAGTGAGGCCCTCTCCACGAGCCAACAACTCCGCGCCTACAGGAAGCAAACACATCCACCGCGGCACAGCCTGGCATCAAAAGTGGGTGCTCAAAGCGGGCGCCTCGCCCCTCAAACACTGCAGCTCTCCCTATGCAGCCACTACGGGTGCATGACCAGGTACAAAGTGCATGTACAGCCATCAGGGGGATGGCAGTCTCCATTATTCAACTTGTATCTTGCTTCTTTACAGGTTCAGTAGACGATGGACTTGCTCTCTTTACTGGCTGGAATCTTAGGATACGCTGTCGTTGCGGATCTCACCGACTCAGGAGCATAGATGGACCCAGCCCCCAACATGAAGCCTTGCTTGATGGTTCGGACGAAGTATGTCTAGACCGCCGGGGAGACGGGACAACCAACCGATCCAGCTAGAATATTCGGGATATCTAAGGAGATTGTCCGGGGCCGAGGACAAGCAATCTAGACGATAGTAGCTCTTCTTGACCGAGATACACTCCGCCCTTCGTACTTTTGTGTCCACACTAATGAACTCATCAATGCCCACGCTAATGACCCGACCGAGTTTTGGCCAGACCCAGCGTTGACCATCATCTCCTGGAGCCTTCACACCGCTGTCCAGTTGAGTCAATTTTGACAGTCTTGGCCCAGCAAAGCTGACCGCTCCTTCGTGGTGTTGAATCCAGTTGATGCCATCTTTCCTACCGGACGCCCCTTTTGCGCTGCCTAAAAGCCGCTTCGTGGAGAGCTCAAAAGTCTGTATGCTGGAAATGAAATGCATGTGTGAGATAGCTGCGGAGGCCAGAACATAGTTGACGTTCTGGATCCGGCGCTTCCGACATCGTGCTATGCCTTGGCTCAGTTCCCTTCATCATGTTTGTATTCGAAGTTATGGGTGACTACTTTTTGCTGCGCCTCTTGATTATGATTCTAATCAACTTGTGCTACGCCACTCCGCCTACCGGCTAGATGTGGCCCTGGAGGATGAAAGACTGGTGCCAAAGACTCTCCGACAATTTTTTTAAGCATTGATCTGCGAAGGAAGAAGTCGACTCCCATTCAGAAGCGCTGTAGCCTGTAAACCGTTATCAGTGCCTGGCCGGTCAGTAATGAAGCCAAAGCGCCGTGGCTAGAATTTCCGTACCAAGAGTCTAGAAGAAGCGTGCCTCAACCTGAATGAGCCGACACCTTCAACCATGCCTTCTCGCACTGTATTGCAATGATATGCAGTGCCATACATCCAGGGGACGCGGCATGTACCATCGATAAATGTGTGCAGTGTGTTGATGCACAGTCCGTGGCCCCACGGTCGGGCATCACCCGTTGTCCCTCAGTGATGGGCCAAGTCTCGTTCAAAACATGTTTTTGACCCGTAAGATTTCGAGTTGATTGCTTGTCGCGAAATGCGACGTCTGTGTTGGATTGGAGTTTGACTTATAATGAAGCTCGGTCGCAATAAGAGAACAAATGCCACGTGCCGCTGAATTCAAATGTCCCGGTTTCTTCGCACCTGGCCCCTGCGCAATATCGACATGTTTTGCTTGAAAGGAACGTGCGTCAGCGGGATTTCATTTAGCCATGGATATCACGAATACTGTTCAAACTCTATTAAGCTACACCAACTCGAAAGTCAATACATGCGTAGATCAGATGGTAATTGCAGAGATGACAGGCGCCTTTGGAAATTTTTGAGTGGCATCAATATAGTATAACGACAACGACGAGAGTCGAAGCCTTAGTAGCCATGATGCTGTTGCTAACTTTGGTCAATGGCGGTTGTTTAGCTCCGCCAACCCGCTTTTGATGGCGAGGACTTTCCAAACATACCAGTCGTACGTCTCAGCTCGCATCTTAAACTTGATTCAAATGTTGTAAAATGTCACTCTCTCCTTGAGCTCTGTGCTGCGTCACACGTCCATTCCACCCCTGAATGTAAAAGATATCATTACCAGAAGTTACTGCTTCACTTTGCTGGTGTCCGACGCCTCAGAGTGTGGAATCAATTGTCAAGGGTGCTTCAGGAATGCGTAGTTCTATCGAAAAGCAGAATCCCGAGTTATCAGGGAGGTTCCGTGACCGATTTCAAGTCACTACTGACTTTGTGAATCTCGTGTTGGCATATTACACCCGACTTCATCAGAAATAATCAGCTATCTCTGGCTGCGATTCATATGGTGCTCTGATCAGAAGAAGATATCTTGGATCAAATGAACCAACATCCTCGAAGGCTGAGTTCTAAGATCGCAGCAAAGACAGCTGAATGGCAAACCCGCGATATAACTTTGCTAGATAGCGAGAACTCAAGATATATAATAATGGATGTTATTCGACATGTCCACAGCCTGAAACACTCTCATAGAAGCTAACAGAGTCTTCATTATGTTTGAAAATAACTTCTAGAAGCTGGAATGTTTTACTTCTTCATCACTCATATTTAAAATATGATTCCTAAGATATAACTCTAAGATAGGCTCAACTACTACCCTATTTAATCCGCAGAAAAGAACATTCAACACAACAAGCAAAATACAAGTTGTCAGCAGTTGAAACTTCGCACTTCATAATAAACACTGCACATTTCTTCAACAACTTCCTGGCTCTCATGTCGATCTGAGTCCATCCGCTTTTTCCGGGAGTCGGGAACGCAAAATCCAGCACTCCTCTACAACCTTCAAGATACAGGCGCAAACAAGGTATCTCTAGTTCAGCAGGCAATTTCCACATATAATAAGCCGCTTCTCTTGTCAAGCCACAAGATAAGACTCTAGAATTCAAAGACCACTCTTCCAAGCTTACTATGGCTGTCCTTTCACACGTGAAGCAGCCCCTGCATTTCGACGGATCGAGGGTTTGTCCCACTCCGAGGCCCCCACCATCTCGTCACGACGCACGCTACGAAATTCGCTTGCCCTCCGCCCCTCCCGTCGGAGCATGTTTCTCCACTCCTTCTACTCGCCCTGATGGTCTAGCGGTATGATTCTCCCTTAGGGTTGTTCATTGACAATTCAGTCTGGGAGAGGTCCCAGGTTCGATCCCTGGTTAGGGCCCAACACTTTTGCTTTTTGAGGGTTCTTGACTCTTCACTAGATTTCTCTGCTTCTGGTGTTCCTCAGCCTGCAAGGATTGATTGCATGGAGTCCTGTGACAGGCAATCATCAGTGCAGACGAAATAAAATCGATACGTACGTACATGCTGTATCTTCTATTATTTTTGCAACCCACATGCCGATCCGGTACCCCCGGCTGTCTTCAAAGCCCTTCGGAGTCCTTACCGAAATGTCGCCATTCTCACGTTCGGCTCCGCCGCCGATCGGCCGTTTCAAGCGGGTCAACGAACGCGAACCGAGTCTGGGGTGGTGACGGAGTAGTCTTTCTTGGCATGCAATGAGAAGACGACATCGCGAGCGGGTCGTGCAACAATTGCCGATGTTCACCGCCATCGTCCCATATCTCGTAGAGTGCAGCTCAAATGCCGCCCGCAACTCTGTTCAAGCGCATCAGAACATTGTTTCGAGATTGAAAGTTTGGATGAGTAGACTTCGGCCAAAGTCGGGGTGAGAAGCAACCTTCCGTGCCCTTATCCGTCATCTCCGTCGCTCTCCATGAATCAGATACTTTTGACGGAAAAGCGCGACACAAGTCAGTTTCCCGCAGGTTGGGATGCGATGAAGCTATTAAACTAAACAGTCGCTGAGCGGTCTTGGCAGTATGAAGCTCATAGCCTCGTGCTCTACTACCAAGATGCTCAGCCACAACTCAATTGATGGTCGAAACGAAATGCGCTGCATGTTGAGGCCTTGGGATACGATTGAGATGTACGAGATAAGATCACAGAAGTCTTGGCAAAAACTATCACCGACTCAGGGTCTAGTTCCACTCACGAAACTTTGGATGTACCTTCTCAACCCTCGAATCGCCTTGAATGCGATCAGACCCGATGTGGATATTCCATCAATGCCCCAAACATTCGGATCGCCACAAACAAGCCATGTTTGAGCTTCAATCGCCCCGATTGTTGAGGGGTGAAAGGCAGGCCTACCAAGATGATCCGACTCGTCTGAACTCTCACATACAAATGCAGTTTCATGCAACGCTGCGCTTCTTGACATGTGCTTGCCCTGTATTGATACATGCGAGGTCGTTGAATGGTATTGAAACAACCAAGTCTGGCAACTCTGAAGCGAAACATGGTGATAAGAGAATGTTCTCCACAAGAAAGAGACATTCGTTTCGCAAGTATCACAACATTTCTGATGACCAGATGACGACGAGAAATTTACTCTCCGTTCACTTTCGATTGCGGTCTCACATCTGGAAGAAGCCCCGAGTCTTTGCGCCCTTATCAAATATCAGTGACAAGAATGATTTTTGTTGTCCTCGCTAGTTCTTGTATGTGTCTCGTACGCTTCCGTAATTGCCAACCTGTCTAAGAACCTATTGAAACTTCGGGTATATGTGTGTACTCTAAGAAATCCATATTGCGCCTACTCCATATCCAATGTTTCCCCAAAGATCACTTCGTACAGTAGTAACAGTACTCGTGCTGTAAAGAGAACAGTTGCTTCGACTTCATTTCTGCTGTCTCGATCCATCTATCGTAAAAGTAGCGCTTTTGGGCGTAGTTGTGTCTGTTAAAGACCGAGTCTCCGGTTGGAGAATAGAAACGCCCGTATTATCGGACTTCATAGATCGTCGGCTGTTGGATACGGGCCGCAGTTCCGTGTTGGTGTTTTGGGTTGATCTAGCAGACCTCGTAGACCTCGTCAAGCTCTGGCGGGTCAGGTCGATGAGCTTCGGGAAGAATTTGACTGCAAGCTGCCTGACGGCTGGCATGCAAGCAACGGAGATTCCGACGCAAAGCTCGACATAGGACCAAATGATGCCCCAGAGAGTTTCAGCTGCGGTATTGATGAGTGACGATTCAATAATTGTCGACGAACAATAGACTTACCAGTGACGTTGAAAGACGTGGCAAAGACCAGTAAGCTTTTGATCCGGATTATGCTCACAATTGTGAGGCTAGTGGCGGATTAGAAAGGGATGGGCTCCGGATAGAGACAGAGAGGACTTGCAAGACACCAACGCCAAACATTGCCATGACCCCCAACTTTTTCTTCAGAGGAAGGTTCAGCTTGTACACTTGAGATGCTGGCAGAATGAGCATCCAAACGTCCAGACCAATGTTCAAACCGACATGGGTAAGTCCGATCAAGTTGAGATCGGCACACTTGCCAGGATGCCGACCGTCCCATCCGTTCCAATAGTGGTTCAGTGGCTGGCATTGAACCAGGCTCAGAAGGACGTAGGAAAACCCGAGGAGGAAGTTGAAGCCCTGTGTGCACCATAAAACCGTCCTGAACGATCTGATGCTGAAGACTCGGAGGTATAGGCAGATGATCGAGGCCTTGATTACCGCAAGATCGAGGATGTAGAACAGCTGGAGGACAAAGAGTAGCTGAGGTTGCTTAGTGCCAAGTTCTTGTGAAAGTCTTTCGGATTGCAGGCTCACCTTTAGAAACATTGTGATTTGATAGGGGTGCAGCTTGAAAATGTCTTGGCCAAGGCCATAGTTCAACACTTGCCTGGATGTCAGCCCGCCATTTCCTCGGTTTCGGGAGATCTTGCCAACACTTACTGACGAACGTTATTGGCACAAAAGGCAAGAAGAATATCTGCTCTCAAGTCAGTGTTGTTTCAGGTATCAACGCAGAACGCCGGACATACAAAAGCCAGCACAATCGTCGTGTCCTCGACTCCCCATGTCGTCAGATGCAGGCCTCTTGCGATCATTCGGACGGCGAAGAACGAGACCGGTAGGATGAGCAAGAAAATCAACGTGTAGCGTGCCGTGCTTGTCGTGTCAGTCAGTGGGAATCCGCATGCCGTCCATGTCAGATTTGTAACGGCTACCCAGCAGGTCAGCAATCGATGCCAGCACTATCATCCATCAACACATACTGAGCGCCTCCTGGACGGTGCATGCCGTCTTTACGCAGTCTCCCACGAATCCAATGAACACAGGATTCGTACACAGACATGTCGTGTTATCGATGGTGCAGGGTGACTGAGGCAGGGCCTTGAGAGCGCAGGTAACCTAAACCAAAGCATCAGTAAGGAAGTCCACGCACGTAGAGAGAACAGGTTCACGAACAGCACACTCCGGGGCCGCGCCCAAGGCGTCAGTGAACGCAGATCCAGACACCAGCCTCACGGCTCCCACAAGGAGCATCGAGACCAGAGAGGCCCTCATGGTGGACGGTTGATGCCGGTGGGATGACACACGGAAAAAGACAATGGAAGAAAACAATGTTACACGGGATCAATCACCATTCACAAAGTACGCGTGCATGATGGGCGCAATGCGTATTAAGAGCGGTGCGTCCTCCTCCCGACGAAAACGGCCAACGGGCTTGGACTTCTATGATGCTCTTGGCCACTGAATCTGCCGATGCGTGTCAGGGGGCGGCGCGATGGCCCAGTCCCAGGAGATCGGCCACGCTTGCACGCAAAGCGCCTTCAAAGGCAGCACGGCCGCTGGCAGCGCGCGGGCTCTGGGGAAGCGAAGCGCCGCCATTGCTGCTATCCGCTGTCCGCTTCAAGCCAACGTTCGTTCCTCTCAAAGAGATTCATTGCTTTCGTTGAAGAAGATGGGGCCATTGGCGGAGCTGTGGCTGAGACATCGGCTGTCGTCGTGGAGCTTTGGGCGTCCTGTGGTCTTGGAGACTGGGGACGTGATTGGATGCCGCTGGCGTTCGTGGCGCACCCGGGGAAGAGGTTCCTGGGTGTGCTAAGCTTCATCGAGACGGGGTCTGGAATCTGGATGGGCTCTGATGGTTGGCATTTTCGCGTTGCTCGGGACAAGGACAGACGCGAGCTGCTCGGGATCCTAATCCCATTGAAGCCGGGCTGAGCCACAGGAATCGTCAGTTCGAACCATTGAATTCGATAACCCTTTACCCATGTGACTCGGGACCGAGATCCATCCTGTCGCCCCCTCGACCTGAAGCCTCACACCAATAGCTTGACACTCGTTCCTGGTCCAGGGGTGGTGGCACCTATGTTTTGATCGCTCGCCACAGATGGTCGCCTTCCAAACAAGGGGGAATTGCCTTCACGAGCCGTAGATATGCCGATGATCCATTCCACGAAGTCGCATTGAAGTCGTGTCGTTGGGAGCATGGCCGGATCCGGTCTCTCGGTTCCATTGGCGGCAGAATCGTGCCAGTCGACTAGTCATGGACCAACAACACGGCCGCCCTGTATTCGGTGCGTATATCAATGGCCGAGGACGTCCAATTCGTTCCGCGTTTCCACGGCCGCGCCGACAGGTTGCATTTCCGTCTCCCAACAGATCCAAGGATCCTGCACCATCCTTCCTTGATGTTCCGAAGGTCTTGATATATCTCTTTGCCGATGGCCCGTCCTCGGCCGAACCCTGTCACCTTTCACACGCGGGCGTTCCCCGTCCTAACCGTAGTCCCTCACGGCAATTCTCCGCTTCCCCACAGACACAGGGGGTGCGGGCCATCTCCGTCCCCCTTGTTCACATCTTGACCGCGGACGGGGTCTTCTCCGTCTTGCTTCTGTGCGGCCTTTGTCCGTGTAAGAATGTCTCTGATCTTCATCCAATACGTCGAGTTGCGTCACATACATAATGTAGGGATTCTGTTCCCTGCAGGGTTTCATGCGCACACTATGCAGGCCGATCACAGCTTTTACTTTGCTGTTTGAGCAAGATCAAGCGAGGTTCAGGTCACGCCAAACGAGACATCAGATTTCGGACGAAAAGTCATTCTCTTTGAAAACATTGTTTCTTTTGGAATCATTACTTCTTTGGGTGCATATTGCATTCATTATATGGGCCCTTTTGTTTTGGTTTCAACCATCAGACGCTTTCAGGCATCTATCGTGTACACATTATACAATCTCTAAACCTCCCTCTTCTCAGCGTGCGTCGCGGCACCCTGCACGCCCTCGGCGGCCTCCTGCTTCTCGTTGTGGACAATGTCGCGCTCCTCGGCGTCCGCGTTGCCGTGAAGACCGATCC